TAATTGACACCAGTGACTCTCCACCTCTTTTACCTTCAGAATTGTCAGCTTCCCCCTTAAACATCTCCTCTCTTACCTATCCCTCCAGTATAGAGCCCCAGGACAACTTTTTACTTCCTGTCTCCATTCCATACCCTGTTCTTCAGAATGTGAGCCACCCAGTATCCTTTGGAAAGTTCACCCCATGGCCATGACTATGCCTCATGATGCAGTGTCAAAGTGGTGTGACTGTGCTAGGGCACCCAGGTATGAGGAAGCAGAAATCATGGGAAACATATGCACAAAATCAATGAGTGCCTAGCAATCCTATTGACTCTTTACCTCTCCTCTCCCCTTCCCACTGACATTGTCCAGTTTGGTTCCCAACTTACAGAAAAGTGTTGGATAGACCTCAGGATTGATCAGGATTTTTTGAGTAATGAAGAATTAAAATTGGCCTTTCAAGTTCTCCTCTGCAGTGAATCAGCTCTAGCATGGGATGATTCTGAGCAGGACACATTCCACACTGACTATTTTTCACCCATAGTTATTCTGACCATTGAGCATAAACCCTGGGCCCTCAAGAACATACCAATTCCACTTGGGCTCAAGGATGAAGTCATACAGTTTATCAAACAGAAAATCTCCAGTGGTGTTTATGAACCTTCAGGCTCTTCTTACAGATTGTGATAGTTTTGTGTGCCAAAGAAAAACAGGAAATTTTGTATTGTTCATGACTTACAACCTCTAAATGCAGTTACTGTCAAAGATGCCAGTGTCACCCCCAACATTGAGCCTTACACTGAGCATTGTGCAGGATGATCAATTTACATATTGTATGTAGGCTATGTGTTAAGGTGCATGCAGAGCTTAGCAGAGGGTTTCCAGAGAACCCCATGGGTATTCCAGTAAGACTTGACTTCAGCTTATAGGCTGCGCCCTCATGAGATTGTAGCACACGGCTGGTAGTGGTCAAGGCATTAGAATCTTTACAATTATCTCGCGCTGCTTTTCGGAGATTGACTAAAATCCGTGCAGTGAATATTGCATGGAAGATGCGCTGCGTACTGTTGTAGCAATGAGACTGAAGTTCGAATGACGCGGAAAACGAAAGAGATGCACGGACAGTATGAGGCTGGGCGTGGGCTGGGACTAGGTAAAGTGAAACTTAGAGTGTGTAGGCTGTAGGAGTATTGGTGGCATACGTCAATGACCAAAATGACGATGTTCATAATTGATATGCCTTTCCGGTGGTAAGGTTACAACATGATCGTCGAGTTTATGACATATCTGCGCACCGATGGGGTACACATAGTACAGTACACCTTTACCCGCACGAAAAATCAGCTGGAATCTTACGAGTTAGGTGAGAAACATGCCGTCTTGATATAATGTAACAATTAGACGAGATCTGCTTATTCTGACTACGAGGAAGTCCGGAGCGGTTTTAAATGTGTTGTTGACGTATGCCAAAACTAGGCAGTACTCACGGTGTTGAAAGCACTTGAAGACCGTCAGTCCTAGGATGACTAAAAAGAGAAAATAAGGAGGCGAATACTGTTGTCAACAGAATGGGAAATACTTGTTTCAAATATTACAATCAAGATGTAGTCGAGAAATATTATGGGGCCCGAAGTGGTCACGATCCAGCAAACGTAGTCTACGCCGCTTGGACTTGGTCCGACTGTATGGGTCGTAATGGTAAGATGTCTGAATCACGCCGATCGAAAAATGAGTGATTTACATGTGGTCACAGAGAGACTGTGGTAGGCGAAATATCCACTCGGAGACGACATTAAAAGTTCTGCACAAAGGAGCGATATTGCTACTTTGCTATCTTTTCCCCAAACGGCCCAGGTTCTGAAGACTAGAACAACTGCAACAAATGTCGATTTATTTGGCTGAAACTCGGGTTCTGAAAGGGCACATACATTCTGCAACGATTGTTGCAGCTATGAGCATCACTGGTAGACATGATAAGCAGGTCTTCAGAACGCTACCCGTTTTAATCATGAAGGGTACTTCATACCTCCACCTAGTTTGTACAGAACATCACATGTGCCTGGCGCGTTGTACCTAGTGGCGCGAACCGGTCTAGTCAGGGAGAATTTTTCAGGTTGTGTGTTGAAGTGCCAGATCAATTTCTACTTCACGTACAATAGAGAATAAATGCACCATCCAGAAATGCGGGGTATTTCGCAGCATAATATAGAATCTTTCCAGCGTTCCAAGGAGTGGTCCAAATGAGATTAATTTCTTCCCCTAAGTTCAAGAAGTGGTCGTACAACTGCGTCCCACAAGCGTCAGCCTCAATCTGCATTTATGATTAAGTATTCTTAACCCACCAAGGATGTATGTAACGGGAGCGGACCTGGTGGCGGACTTGGCACGGAGCGGTCTACCGCCGTTGTCTCAGGGGGTAAAGAGAGGGTAGATAATTTTCCGATCAGAACACTGTTTCATTTCATTATCTGTCGCTAGGGGGTTTAGTCTACGAATGCGAGCATAAATAGGGAAACCACCCATTAGCTACAGTAGTTATTTCGAATTGGAGCCTATTCCTACTCTGCTCGTTCCTCTTCGTAAGAAGCTCAAACCAAAGGATTACGCTATCTTTAAAGCCGAACCTTACAATGTATAACCGGCTACTATGAAACGGTTAGTATGGACAGATCAATGATTAACAGTGGTAGAGTATGCATACTATCAGAATACTAGAAGATAATGCAGATAATCCGCACATGATTGAACCTGTAGAACACTGAAGGCTTACCGCTGCAGCACGGTGGTTCTCTGATAGGGCCTGAATATTGATGGTGTGCGATGACGAGATCATGCCATATACTGGTTTGGCTAAAATTTAGATGTAATGGTATGTGAAGGAATACATTAGCAATGGTGAAGAAAGCCGTCTTTAGTAGACTGAGTCTGTAAGTTTTAGGACCACAGCCTACAGAGTTGACTCAATGTATCATAAAAACGTGCCTCCAGTAAGACAAAGGAAGCTATCAAAGGGATTGTATATATGCCGAAATTGAGCACCAGAAGACGTCCTAATTATGATATCTGATCAATCTACACTGTTGATATCCTTGTGATGTGCGTAATGAATGCGCTGAAATCATAAGGACACTGATAGTGACTATGCACTCGTGCCAGAGTTACGGATGTGCGTAGGTTTGTGATCCAGAGCAAGGTGTAAATAGTACCGATGTATAGCCTCAGTGTTGCATCGAAGCATTCACCGCCATGGTTCTCCACGGAAATGATGCCAGTAGGGGAGTTGTTACTATGTGCCATGCCACCTGCCCCCGCTACTAATTAGTACATCACGTTTTACATAATCCTGTGCGCTCAAGCTTACTAACGACCTTCTGATCTCTTAGTCTTCTCGCAACCTCATCCAAGTCTTCTATTTAGTGCTTTTATGAATAGACGAAATTCCTTTGGGATATTACTGCAACAAAAGGTCAAATCATATGAATATTATATTTGTACTCATTGATTACCATAATACGTCCCAAAACAAGTTATGCATAGTTTGTTCTATTCATGCCGCAGTATTGGGTTTCACTCCAAATGCATGTACCCTCTCACATGCTTGGGCTTATACTCATACTTTGATATCCCATTCGATAACAGGAGCTCTTCACGCAGTACATACATATTTCATGACAACCACTCACACGAGAAGAGGCTTTTGCTGGTGAAACAACCAAATTAGTTCATGGTCCGTGCTAGAAAAGATGGAAACCTGTTCCGGTCGCCAAAATGAACGCTTACAAAGGTCAGCTCAACCTGTCAATTATCCGTGACCACTTCCTCTATACCTTACAGGTCTACGGCTTTTCACTATCATCAAACATGGGTTAGCGTCGGGTCGTTCTGAACAGCTCGGCTCACATCCATAAATCTTCAACAAACTCAAGTTGTTGGTTAGAATACTTGGAGTTCACCGATTCCTCATCCCAAGGCCATGATTGTGCGTGTAGTAGTCTCGACTTACACTTATTTTGCCTGTTTTGGTATTCACAATGCACCAATAAAGTAAAGCTGGCAACTACGTGAGGGTTAGTTATTCTGGACGAATCGGTGGTTGATAAAGGGTAAAGCACGCATGCGGTCAGAATACTAGAAGATAATGCGCCATTTTTCACACATAATTGGACTCATACAACACCAACAGCTTACCGCTGTAGTACGATAAGTCAATAAATCCTATGACAGAGTCTGAATATCGATGGTCTACAATGAAGATATGCTAGTTTGGCTAAAATTTCGAAGAACCGGTACACGATGAAATACGGGCATAGAGTCGTAAAGGAAATACTAGCAGGACAGTTATCTCTAGTATACTAGTACGGACGCAGGATCTTAGGGTCAATTCAATGTAGCATAGAAACAGGTGTCTTTTCGGCCAATGACGAAACACCATCCACTCTCTATTGCATGTTTGCCGAATATTTCAATGTTGCGAGGTTTCGAGTAGCTGGCGAGTTGACAGTTCTAACTGCCAAAATGCTATTTGCTCTTTCAAGTTGTAACATATATATCCAGCATTTCTGCAAGGGCACATGTTGTTGATGTATGTATGTCTCACTTATCCTAGTTACTTGAGGTATCATGGGGTGGTACCATAGCACACACCCTAATCAATAGTTCCACTTGTCACATGTTATTATTAGTTCAATAGTGAGATGACTTCCAATCATGATAAGGTTCATCGATCCTTATCATGATACAGGCTCCAGATTAGATGATAGTTGATAGCTATCTATAGTTTCCTCTATACCTGAGTGGTATATAGGAGTAGCTAGATCACGTAGTATTCTCTAGCTTTGTTATCAACTTGGTTTACTGGCTACATCCTTCATCTGAGTTCTACTTGTCCCCCAATAATTTCCATACTGAACTCATCACACAAATAATTTAGTAAGAGTATTGTACCACTGTGAATTTATTGGTTGTCTCAAGCATTTGTAGCTTTGATTCTCTGAGCATTGATATGTTAAGAAAGTGAATAGCCAGACTGGGAGTTGAAACCCAGGGCTTCTGCACATATAGCAGGGGTGTTACCCATTACACTACTTGACCATAGGAAACAGGTGAGCTTATAAACCCACTCCGACATAGGAATGTTACATTAGGTGACAACAGGCGACAGCACCCACATGCTTTGTAAGACATATTCATGTCGTTCACATCATGTTTGTTTGGTCACAGCATCAAATAAAGTTCATTTTCACTAGATGACTTGGATATCCTCACAGATCTTCTGGGATGAGGAAAAGTATGACCCTATAACCAGCTGGATTTCTTTGTACACATTGGCATCCTTTCCAGAGATTGGGATTATCTGGTAAGGAGTGTGCAGGCTTGACGGAAGGTTTCCAGAGAAACCCATGGATATTACGGGAAGGACATGGCTTCAGCTTATAGGCTGCACCCTCATGAGACCATGGTGTCCAATTTCAAACAGGCAGACCAGGAAAACCTGAGGAGTCCAGGGTCATTGATAGGCCAAGTAGTCACATTGTCAATACGGGAAACCCATGGAGGTTGACAATGAGTCGGAAGGTCAAACAGTCAAGTCGGGAAACCCACAGAGATCAATCGGTCAGGAGGTCAGGTGGTGAACAGTCGATAAGTCAGGAAACCCATCGAGGACGATGGGTCAGACAGTGAGTTGGGAAGGCCACAGACTCCGAGATGACAATGACAATGTTCTTCAAGGATGAGAGGTGGGATAAAGAGTGGAGTATAAGCTAGGACTGAAGGGAACACTAAGTCGGAATCTTAGTTGATTTTCTAACTGGATTGTATGTACAACATTCAGCTAGACTATATAGACTATGGAATGTATGCAATGCCAAATCCGGTAGTAATAAGAGACAAAACAGGGAATCATAAATTGGGATGAGTAAACACCAAACTAGGTGTTAGGGACGGAACGGAACAGAAGTGGGGTGCAAAACATGACAGGGCATTTAACCATAACTGGAGCAGGGCTCAGTTAGAGGGCTCCGGGAGTCCGGTCAGAGTCCGGGGGCTTGGTGCATGAGACAATGTCGGGTATAGACAGGTTTGACATGCAGGAGGTCCAGTGGAGTCCGAGGACTAGTGCATGAGACACAGAGGGTCAGGTACAGACAGGTACAGACAGGTATGTCGGATACAGACAGGTGTGACGGGCAGGTCCGGGTGGAAACTCTGGTTGTGACTGTATGTTGAGTTCCATATAGTGGCTCAGGTGCATACAGGGCAGAGTCCGGGTTCCGGTGGGTTGTCTGGTAGTGGATATAGAGAGTCGGGTGCAGGTAGGGTGAGGTGCATACAGAGAGTCAGACACAAACAAGTTGATGTGCGGGCTCTGGTGGGCACTCCAGTTGTAACTATACAATATAGAGGGTCGGGAGCATGTAGGACGGAGTCCAGGGGTCCAGGGGTCCAGCAGGGTTTCCAGTTCCTGACATTATCCCACCAAGTTACACACACTGCTCAACCCAGAATATGTTGCTATCATTAGGTCTTTGAGTGGACTGTTAAATTCCAATCTATCAAGCATCAGACTGTGGTGGAGATTGAAATACATCCTTATCATCACAATCATGAATTGTAGCTGTGGATTGAGGCTCTTCAATGGCAGTAGTACATCCATGCCCAACTGGTTTTCATTCATTTGCTGATTCTTCATCTCACAGCCTATATTGAGTGACTCGAGTGAAATATCATTTTCTTGAAAGACAACTTGTGACATCTTGCCACCTACCATCCTTGTAACTTCCTTGCAACTCCTGGCCTATTTCCATTCATATTCAAAATGGCATCTTCCCACTGCCTCCTTGTGGATTGACAAATCCATAGATTGGTTGAGGCTCTTCAATGGCAGTCATATGTATGTATGTCCATGCCTGACTGGTTTTCATTCACTGGACTCTGCAGGTCAAACCCAGGGCTTGTGTGGGGGGCTGTTGAGTTTTGCCACAGGTGGACTAGGTGTTGGACCTCTGAACTTGAAGGAGCAGGATGACCAGCAGGCCACTTCATTGCCCATGTGATACAATATGGCACATCCTACATATTACATATATTAATAAAAATTGTATATTCCACATCATTTAGCTAAGCCTGTCTAATAGAATATCCTTTCTGAGATAAGCCAAACTTTTTGTTGTGCTGTAAAGCTGCATTAAGGATGATTGTGAGACCAAGCTGAGACCCGCATCCATTCCCACAAATCTCCAAGTGAGCATTCATTTTGGCGCCCAGAACAGGCTTTCATCTCCCTAAGAGGGACCATAAACTAATTTGGTTGGTTCATCAGCAGAAGCCTCGTTTGTCGTGGCATAGTATGTGCCACGTGAAGAGCTCCTGTTATCGAGTGGGATAAGTATGAGTATGAGCCCAAGCACATGCATTTGGAGTGGAACCTAATATTGCAGCTTGAATAGAACAAATTATGCATAACTTGTTCTGGCATGTATTATGGTAACAAATGAATACAAGTATCATATTCAGATGAATTTGCCCTTTTTTTGCAGTGATATCCCAAAAGAATTGGGTCCTTGTATTGATAAAAGCACCAAAAAGAAAACGTTGCTGAGGTTGCAATAGGACTAGAGGAATATATGAAGATTTGATTAGGAGGTCGTTATTTAATGAGCTCGAGTACACAGGATTATATAGAAAGTGCGGGCTATTTCACCTAATTTACACCTGAAGTAACTCCCATTATGTAACTGATGTGCGTGCAAGTCGATCGAGCTGAACTATTTGGTACCAAGGCAGATGACATCATACATAGTGACAACTCCCCCACTGTCATCGTTTCCATGGAAGAAACATCGCCGTGAATGCTTATAATCTTAGCAAGGGTTTCAAGCTATTGTTACTAGAGCGATTCTTCCGGACACCATTTTCGATGTCAACGCTGAGGTTATACATAGGTTCTATTCACACCTAGATCACAAGCCTAGCCTGTTAGAAAGTAAGACCTAAAGACAATTAACTCAGTCTCGTATATGATATAACGGACTATATTTTATGTACCTAAAGACAGTTAACTAATGGGTGACTATTAATTACATTATGTGCAAATACATAACTGTTTTTTGAACTCAGTCTCGTATATGATATAACGGACTGAGGTGATACTATCATAATCCTTCAGTTTGTATATATGTTTAACCACATATGTTGCTAGGCAGCACGTTATTGGTGTTGGATGGCCGTGCCCGAAAGTTGTTGATACCGGGCGGCCATGCCAGAAATTAGCGTTTCGATGGTGTTGTTCAACATAGCCTACGCATATCCATACAAAATTTCAAACTCCGGCACGGTGCATGATCACTATCAGTGTGATTATGAATTCAAGTGCATTTATTACGCACATCACTAGGATATCAACAGTACACATTAATCGGAGATCATGATGTCTTCCAGCTTAATTTCGGTTTTATGATACATTGAGCCAACCCTGTCACAAAGATCCAAAAAGCCTGAATGTACCTGATAAGCGACACAAGCTGCTGAATAGGTCTGGTCGGCCCTAATCAACCACCTGATCGACACTTGAATGGCCGGACCAGGCCTGACCAGGCCTATTCAGTGGTTCGTGTCACTTATCAGGTTTTTGGATTTTTGTGACACCTGTAGGGAAACTTACAGACTCAGTCTACTAAAGACGGCTTTCTTCACCATTACTAAAGTATTCCTTCACATACCATTACATCTAAATTTTAGCCAAACCAGTATATGACATGATCTCGTCGTCGCACACCATCAATATTCAGGCCCTATCAGAGAACCACCGTGCTGTAACGGTAAGTCTTCAGTAGTGATTGGCAAGGCCCGGCCCGGCCTAAAGCCCCGGCTTGGGCTCAGCTTTCAAAGACTCTTCAGCGTTCTACAGGTTCAATTATGTGCGGATTATCTGCATTATCTTCTAGTATTCTGATAATATGCATACTCTACCACTTGTCAATCATTGATCTGTCCACACTAACCGTTTCATAGTAGCCGGCTATACCTTATTGGTGCGTTAAGAATACTTAAGCATAAATGTAGATCGAGGCTGAAGCTTGTGGGACGCAGTGGTACGACCACTTCTTGAACATAGGGGAAGAAATTGATCTCATTTGGACCACTCCTTGGAACGCTGGAAAGATTCTATATTATGCTGCGAAATACCCCGCATTTCTGGATGGTGCATTTTCTCTCTATAGTACGTGAAGTAAAAAGGGATCTGGCACTTCAAAACGATTTGAAAAATTCCCCCTGACTAGTCCAGTTCGCACCATTTAATACAACGCCAAGCACCTGTGAGTTTCTATACAAACTAGCTGGAGGTATGAAGCACCCGTCATGATTAAAACGGTAGCATTCTGAAGACCTGCTTATCATGTCTGCCAGTAATGATGATAGCTGGGATAATTGTTGCGGAATGTATGTACCCTTTCAGAAGCCGAGTTTCAACCAAATAAATCAACGTTTGTTACAGTTGTTCTGGTCTTCAGAACCTGGGCCGTTTGGAGGAAGAACAGCAAAGTAGGAATATCGCTCCTTTGTGTAGGACTATTAATCGCGGCTCTGAGTGGATATTGGGTCTACCACAGTTTCTCGCTCACCATATGTAAACCACTCATTTTTCGATCGGGATGATTCAAATATCGTACCATTACGAACCATGCAGTCGGACCAAGTCCAATCGGCGTAGACTACGTTTGCTGGATCGTAACACCTGCTAACAACATAATATTTATCGACTACATCTTGGGTGTGATATTCGAAACAAGTATTTGCCATGCTATCACTGGTGATCTTCATCTGTTTATTTGCTCTGTCAAGTCATTTTAATATTGACCATCCTCAAGTGCCTTCAACACCGTGAGTACTGCCTAGTCTTGGTACACATTATCAGCACATTTTAAATTGCTCTGGGACTTCCTCGCAGCCAGAACAAGTAAATCACATCTAAAAAAAAAAGTTTGCTTGTATACAAGAGAATACATCATAACCCAAAGATTAAGTTATAACCCAAATAATCTAGGTTAACCCAAATAATTTTGTGTAACTATGTCATTTGTGTGTACTTT